ACACATTCGACAAGAGACTGGATTAAAAGACGTGAATTTTGCCATCCACAGTTCAAAAACAGGATGCGTGGGTGATGCGTTAGTCTGAAAAACAACGAATGAACGTTAAGGATTACTGATTGAGTTACGCTAAACCATTAACGCTAAATCGGTCATCCAAAAATAAGAACGATTCGGTGGTTAAATTAACTAGTCAACGGTGGGGGCAGGAAGCGGAAAATAAAGAATGTTGGAGGAGCATCAACTTGCGTTTATGGTGCACCCATAACGAGGATAAGTCTCACAATGGAATGAGGCAAATCTCCGTCGAGCGTCGGAAGCACCTGACAACTACGTGGGAAACTGCAAAATCAGAAGAACTGAAGCAGAGAATAAACATAGAATTCTTATAGATAATAGAAAAAGTGTTCTATTGCATGAAAGACCACAACCGACGTTTTAGATCGTAGGACATGAGCCTCCTTCAAAGTAACACCGATGGTAGTGTCTGACTGGTCTTGAGATCATCTTCAGCAGCTGCATCCTTCTGACCAGTAAGACTGTAAGAGTATATCAATAAATATATCAATATAAATAGAAATGATTTAGGTCTGACAGATCAATTATATGCACTACGTTTGTTTCATTTTAATATTTTTACCAATGCAAAATAAATATTTAAAGAACAGAAAAATCGATTACTAATGTGCGTTAAGCAAAAGAGGTAATGCATAAGGTCAGATCTGATGCAGGACTGTAATAACACAGAATAAGTAAACATATGGAGAAAAAAGTTGACCGCAAATTCAATCTAATTAAATGATGATGGCTCAGGTGATGACATTGAGGAAAAGTCAGATTCCAAGTGCAATTACTGTCGGCTGCAGGAAGCTATATTAACTGCTACAGAGACTGTTGATATCTACCTACTTCATATCAGTTGTTACGAAAGTCACATAGCAAAAGTACAAAACTAAAAATGCTCCTTCAAATACAAGTTACCCGTAGCTCAACATGAAACTGATGAGGTCTCTGTGCGACCGAATCAAAGGCAACAATCATCTGAGGGCTTTTATAAGGTGTTCAACGTTAGCATTCTAAAAAAATAATAGTTCAAAAATGACTGAATTAAGCACAAAGCATAGTCTGCTCTGCATATGTATAATGACAAGACAACAAGGAAGCAGACATCACTGGAACACTGAACAAACAGCATAGGATATGTACGTGATGATTCCATAACAATCTATTTACCTTCCTTTATGTGTAGCCCAAAAGTTATCATTTGCATTTAAATCGTAGTCTTTGCGACGTTTCGTAATCGAACCCTTTTCCACCTCATACGTCACTACACGATTTAAATCGTAACTCTAAAATTTTAAAGTGTAAACGCAAATGTTCGTTTATCAGGTTCACTTAAAGCATGCAATACCAAAACATCGTGTATCAGGGCTTGATATGTCCATGTGTGATGAAGGGGAGTTGCCAAATCCAGACTTCTATCAAGAATGATAAGAAGGGGTCTCTGAAACGACAAATGACCGGAACGAATCCCTTCGCTAGCAAACAAATTGTTCCGTGCGTCCCTCAGGT